GACGACGACGACGACGACGACGACGACGACGACGACAGGCCACAGCACCTTTTATGAAGAGCTCCCAGAATCTGAGCCGACATCACAAGCCAGACAAACAGAGAAGTCACCCAGCCCCAGGAAGCAGGCCTTTGACCACTCAGAGTCCTCCAAGGGGGAGAAGAGGAAGACCTTGCCTTTGGCCACATGAGAGGACTCAGAGGTAAAAACCTCCCCTGACCCCAGTCTGGGTGAGGAGGCAAATAGAGTTGGCAAGAAGCCCAAAAAACACAAGAAGGAAAGAAAGGACCGGGATACCACATCGTGTTCCATCCAGGACCCTTGCTCTGTGAGGCAGGAGATGCTACTTATGGATGCATAGAGAAGGGGGTTGAGGAGTATGCAGCCTTGGGGCTGAAACAGGAGCAGGGCAGCTCCAGAGAACACAGCAGGAAAGTGAAAAAAAAAAAAAAAGTCCACCAGGAGGAAGACACCCTCCCAGGCCACGCTGACCTCTCTAGGTCCATGGAGAACAACCCTAGGAAAGGAAAAAAGAAGAAGCCAGTCAGAATTGAGGTTCTAGAGTACATCCCACTAGGAGATTACCCTAAAGCCAGAGTGAAGAAGAAAACAAAGGCTAAGAAAAAGGAAGAAAAGCCAGTTGGTGAGCTAGCTCAGAAAAAGAAAAAGAAGAGAGCATGGTAACAGTAGATGCTTGGAAGAAAGAGCCAAATACAGACCTGGAGGTGGTGATGGAGAAGTAAGGCAACATGGATGAGGTCCACATAGACCAGGTGAGGCAAAAGGCCTTGCAGGAAGAGATTGATTGGGAGTCAGGCAAGACAGAAGCATCTGAACCCAGAAGTAGACGGGAAACCAGTTTGGCCAATGGGATACTGCAGATTTTGAAAGCAAGGAAAAAAAACTAAAATGTCTTAAACTTATGGGTGCCTTTAAGAATCTGTCCCCTTCAGTCAGCCACTCCCCTTGCATAACTGCAAGGCCCAACATGGCAAGGCGGCTGCCGACACCCTGAAGCAGAAATTGCAGCAGGACTACAACCAGGCTATGAACTGGAAGTACAACCGGGGTGCCAGACTTGGCTTCCTTGCCACCCCATCAGAGTCTTCTACATCGACAAGAATGCATCTAAGTCTGTCAAATTGGAAGATTAAGTGCTAATGTCTTCTACCTAAACAGCTCAGATGTCTTTTCTCAGTCTTGTAGATGAAAGCCACCTAGCAGCTGTCCAGGATGGAACACCTGTGGTCAAACTGGGCAGCTCGTGTCCTGGGGGCTAAAACACATTTTTTTTCTGTTAAACCTTCCATCCCTGTGGTGACATGGGCATGTGAATAATGGCAGCTGGCAACTGGCATTTGTTGGGGGTATAGCATGGCCCAGGCCCATACTGTTTTTTGCATTAATGTATTTAATCATCATTATGAAATAGGTGCCATTCATGAGGCAGCTGAGGTTTAGGGAACAAGTAATAAAATTGCGCGGGGCCACCCACTGTTGACTGCCATGTGTTACGTGGTTGTACCCTAAGCCCTAAGTCACTAATCATTGTGAGAGTTTCTTCTACAGACTTTCACTCAGAATACTAGTTGGAGATTAAATGATGGAGGAAACAAACAATAAAACAATCACCTAAGTTGTTCACAAAGAATGAGTTTCATATAGATTATCTTAAGTATACAAAGATTATTAACCAGTAATAGGATGGGAAAGGAGAAGAATAATGAAAAATATGAGTAATTTACGTAAGACTTTCATAGTAGGGTGGGAAGTGGGTTTGCTCTGTATGTGGTCATCTTCTAGCTATAGACTCTGT